GCCCGGGAGCCCCCAGCCACCAGGGATCAGGCAAACTCATCACATCAGCCGGCATCAGAGTTTTCCCGAGGGCTGGTCCCTGCTGCAAACACTCGCTCCGTAACAGCCGCGACAGACCCTGCAGCCTGCTGATTTAGTGCACCCTTACAGACACTCGCTCCTCATCTTTGTTTTACGGATGGAAATACAGAGTCACACAGATTGTTTGCCCAGCGTGGCATAAATAAACCCCCGGGAAGCCAGACCGAGCGCTTTCCCTCAGCTCGGCGACTTTACCAAACGCTCCCCGGGTCGTTACCTGCCTGAACTTGTCTCAAGCAGCCGAAGGCAGATGCTGGGGCCACCCAGCTCGGACCCGGCACTCGGCGCTCTCGGGTCCCCGGCAGACCTGGGAGGGGGGTCAGAGGACGCGGTACGGCCGGCAGACGGTGGGTCGGGGGGTGCCAGGACCCCACGCAGTGCAAGCTGCTGGCAGCAGATTCTCCCCGGAGAGGAGAGCGGTCGCATCTGCGGCAGAAGGAGCTGCCAGGGAAGAGCTGGATGCGAGAAGGCCTTTAAAGGACATGCACGAGAGCGGCTGGGAGCTCCCTGCGCAGGGCTGGGGCGGGCTGAGCGGTTTGCAGGTGGCCAGGCGACCTCTGCTTTCGGTGCGGGGCCGGATCCCGCATCCGCTTTTTGGAGGCGAGAGCTGTTACCCAAAGTTGGGAGGGACCACAGCTGCTGCCTCCGTGCCCCGTGTCTGCAGAGCATCTCCCTGGCAGGAGGCCCAGGGCAGAGCGGTGGCACTCAGGACCTCCACGGAGATGGGGGATCCCCCCACGGGATGGGATGCTCCATGGGGCGCAGAGCACCAGGCTAAACCAAGACGGGTGACAAGGAGCCTCCCGTAGCATTGTATTTGGTGATACAGGGAAGCTGCTCTGCCCAGGACCCCCATCCCTCTTGTCAGCCATCACCCTCACTGCCCCTTCCACTGCCCGACCCCTTTGCTCAAATCCTTCACATCCTCTAAAGCCGCTTTCTTCCCCTAATGAGCTTACACGGAGTCAGACTCGATGCTCAGGGCTACAGAGGACCAGGCTGCAGGCTGGCAGCCCCTGCTGCCCCCCCCCCACCATGCCCAGGGACCCTGATGTACCATGAGGAACAAGTTAGGTCCTTGGGGTCTGCAAATCTCATAAGCTCTGTGAGGTCAGCCAGCAAATGGCATCTCCCAGTCCCGGAGCAGGACCGGCCCAGCCTCATGCCCATCTGCTGAGAGCGCAGGATGCGGCCCCAGGGCCGGGGAGCAGTCGGAGCAGGGGGGTGGTGGGGCTGAGAGAGCCCATTTGCAGCTTCGAAGTAGGAGCTGCGCTGTGCCACAGTGGATGAGGCTTTGGAAATGACCATCAACAGTGGTCCCCACCAGGTCAGGATTTCAGACATCCTTGAAGCTTCAGGGATGGGTTTTCCCCTCTTGGGGCAAACACCTCCTGCTTGGACCTGACCAAAAGCTGCTGAGAAATCATGAGTCATCTTAGGGGAAGAATAGCCCCAAATTCCCATGCTGTCTTCCCTGTAACACACATACACAGCAACACAAACTGTGGTATGCATGATTAGCATCAATTAACGACAACGCATCCTAAGTTCACAGCACCGGCAAGACACTGGACACGCTGAGAGGCAGACCAGCACTGTCACCCTCTGCCTTATGGTCTTCTATATCCTCTGCCTTTCCTTAAAAACGTCTCCCCGGGGATTTCCTCTCCTCTCCAGCCCTCTAAGTTTTCTGTCCATCTCCAAGAGTTTCCAGGCGCAAAGGTTGCCCACGTGTGCATGGTTTTTGGAGAAGGATTTGCTGAGACGCGCTTCCCGGAGCGAGCAGGTCACCCGGCCCCGGCTGCGAGAAGATGCTCAGGGCTTGCGATGGCAGAGCCAGATCCATCCCGCAGGTGAGCATGTCCGTGTACATCCGTCCGGAGGCAGCCGAGCCCGGGTGCTGCGCAGCAGCGATAAACCTGAGCAGCAGAGCTTCCCCTTTACCACCAGTGCTTTCCCAGCCGCTCAGCCAGTTTCCCGGCTGGTCGGTATCCCAAAACACAGGTCAGTTCTCCAGGCATGAAGTCAGGTTTGCATTAGCACCACCAGTCCCGTCACTGGGCTAACTCGCCCCTGGTCACCCCTTTGTTTCAGAAAGGGGAGATCCGAGCAGAGGGGACAAACCCTTCCTTTGGGCTGAGGCTCAGCGGATGGAGCCCAGTGCCCCATCACTGCGATGCCATTCCCCTCCTCGAGGACCCCCTCCTCCACCTGCATTACATGAGGGTCTGCTTGGGCGCACAGGTCTAAACTATACATTTTATTGTTGAGTGCTTTTTCTAGCCAAGCACAAGGTCTCTCCTCAACAGAGCCTGCGGCCAAGGCTCCCGTAGCAGGGCATGGAAGTAAAAGCACCTTCAAGGCACAATGCCAAGCAGACAGAGGGTACAAAACCAGAGGGATGGAGGACAGACACCTTTGTGAACACCAGTGCCTTGCCCTCAACATAGCCTGGTCCCGCTGGCCCCGTCCCCACTGCTCCCTCCCCAAGAACAGCAGTCTGACACCGGGCAGGCACCAGATTAGGTTCCATAGCCTCTGCTCTAGTGTCCTGGCAGGTCCACGGCAGCAGCAAGTTGTTGTGTGGGTGACACAGAGCTAACACCACCATTGTGTTGGTTCCCCACCCTCAAAACCTCCTCCATTTCCTCCCACACACGCGTGCTGAGGGGTTCAATAAGAGGCACTGCCCCTCTGTGCAAACCATCCCATTCAAAGAACCTCTAAAAGCATTTCCTAAAGGCACCCAGGGATTTTTATGTAGTCTTATTTTTAACCTGGAAGCACCGCGATTACAATCTAGGTATCGTAGGGCCTCAGACAAGCAAAAGCAGCCCAGCTCCCCGTGCACAGACCTGTTCGGCGGGGATGAACAGACCCTGCTGGAAGATCTCCAGCCCGGAGGTGAGCGGCAGCAAGAGGCTGCAGGCTCCGGCTTTGCCTCTCGTATCTCCTTCCAGCGAGGTCCCACCAGCGACGCGGCAGCCTACTGCGACGGCATCTTCCCAGGGCTCCTCCTGAAGCCGAGCTGAACTTGCAGCTCAGATCACAGAGACCGCGGTCATCTGGATTATCCACTTCTCGGAGGAAAGCTGCTCAGACCGACACCGGCTGCTACTGCTGATGCGGCAAACGTGATTTATTAGATCTGTGCAGGGGACCCAACCATAAAGCAACACCCCAGCCCTCCAGCAAATTCATCTTCATGTGACCCCCATCTCCCCAGCTGACAGGGACCTGGCAGCTAACACAGTACCCAAGGGAGAACACAATTCTCTTATGATTAAAAGATTGTTGGGGGAAAAAAACCCACAACAGATAAGAAAGAGGAGTTTTCACAGAAACAGAATCCCAGACTGGTGGGGGCTGGAAGGTCCCTCTGGAGCTCCCCCATCCCACCCCCCACCAGAGCAGGGGCACCTCCAGCAGTGGCACAGGACGGCGTCCAGGCGGGTTTGGGATGGCTCCAGAGGGGGAGACTCCCCCACCTCTCTGGGCAGCCTGTGCCACTGCTCTGCCACCCTCAAGTTTGCTTCTTTTGGTTCAGTTTTAAATTCCGTGTTGAAAAAAGAGGGCTGCCGAGCCTTCCCCCGAGCAGTTCAGCCTCACATCCACCAGATTTCAATGCAAAACTGCATCAGCACATTGGGGATGACATGCACGTGATTAACAGGTTGTTACTGAAACGCCGTTACCTCCAGGGAGAAGCGGAGTGACTTTATCAGCTCCCAGCCTTGCTGCAGGAGGGGACACAGCAACCCCCCGGACATGCCTGCAGCTCCCGTTTGGAAAGGGGCAGCCCCTCGGGGGCATGGACCAAGGCGGTCTGGCTCCTACGTGGCTCTGATGGCTGGCGTTTAATGTCCGTGGGTGCAGCATTCGCAAATTTTGCCCACCCAAAAATTGCCCACCCAAAGAGGGTTCTGTGCTGACCAATGATGGAACAAGGATGCCACGTGGGGAGCGGAGAGAGCATCTTGTTGTGATACTGCTTCAAAAATCACCGTGGGAAGATGAGAGGCAGCAGAGTGGACAGATAACCCATGCAACTGCATAAAATGAATTTCCTTAAAAAGCCCCCACCTATTAGGCCAGAAAGGGAATTCCCCTCCCTACCATGAAGGACGTAAATCTCTACAAACAGAAGAGGAAGCAGATGGGATATTTGACAGTGGTTCCCCAAGTAAACCAGCCGAAAATTAAACACTGCCTTCTATATACAGCCTAGGAGACCTCTAAGACAGCACTTCAGACCTTCCCCTTCACCAACTCTGCTACTAAATCAGGACAAGGACAAAACCAGCCCTGGCTCTCCCTCTGCTCCTGGATAAGGTTCTGCTGAACTATAAAACTTGACTGACGTTTTATGCCACGTCCACCTCTTTGCACTGTTCAGGCTGGATTTTAAAGTTCTTGAGAGGGTCAAGAGGAGTCAAAAGTAAAGTTTTCCATGCGGATGCTACCAAACACCACATAAACAAGCAGCCTTCCCCCAGCATGTCTAGTGTCTCCAGGGTTCGCTTCCAATTCTCCTAACGTGACTGTTATCTCGCACGTACACCCCAGAGGAATCCACGGTACATGATAAGCTGCAGCCAAGAGCAAAACCAGGGCTAAGAAGTCTCTTTCCACAAGCCAGCATAGTGCTTCCCAGCAGAACAGGAACCCCCCTTGCAGTTTGCAAAGCTTGACTACTGTTTCTTGCAAAAACCACGTAGGCTGGCCCAAAACGCAGCTCCCAGTACCTCCAGATGAGTTGGAAATGCAAGCTGCATACGGCACGTAGCAGCCAAGAACAGCCTGTCAAAAATGAGACCGTTGCCTAAAGAAACCAGTGAGCAGTTACAAAACCAAACATCCATCAGGGAGGAGATGCACGCCGCAGCCAGATTTCAAACCATTTATTGCTGCCCTGTCCATTAGAGATGCCGGGACTTCCCCGTGGTGCTCGGGATGTACGTGGCACACGCATTCTTCCAGGTCTTCTTCAGCAAGGCCACCAGGAAGCTGACGATCAGGTGAATTTTGGAGACGAGTTTGTCCTCTGTCATCTTCATGTGACCGATAGCCACAGCCAGAGCACTGGGGACAAGGACACCGAGGTCACTTAGCAGAAGCTTCGCAGGGAAACTGCAAAGACCGCAGCCTGCTACCTAATAAAGCCAGAACAGCAGGCTCAGACCTTAATGATCAGGGCACAATTTCTATTTATGTCATATTTTGGGCAGCCCTACAATAGCTTCAATATACTCAGCCACTAGCTCACTGGTATGCAAATACATCAACAATTTGGCTCCCTGGAGGTTTCTTTCCTCCAGCTAATGTAGACTTTGAAGCCTCATCAGTCCACTGTCACCTAAAATAGCTTAAGAGATTCTTACTATAAAGCAATCTGTGCTCTCAGTGTTAAGAGCATCACTTAACTGCTTCAGTTTCATTCCTCTGGCTGGATCTAAACATTAAGGAGCAAACATGAAGCAGTAACATGTCACACCTTCATGTTTTAATCCCTCTTCTCCCTTTGTAGATGTAAATGTTTATGAATTTTTAAATAGTTTCTGAAGTACGCAATGCTTCAAAACCTCCATTAAAACTCTAGCACTACCTCTCTCAGAGTCCATCCACTCTCTCCCATCCTCACCTTTCCAGTCCTCTGCCCAGAAGGTGCCCAGACAAGGTTTTCAGTGGGTGTTTTCAAGGATGCAGGACAGAAATTTGGAAACAAAAGCACTTTTTATTACTGTATCACTAAATACCTTGCAATGGGAAGTGCCATCAATGCCATGTGGAAAACCAGAAATGTGACACAGAGCGGGGTCGCTTGCAAGCCCCGGGAAAAGGGGGGCGGGGGGGGAAGGCAGATTTAAAGCAGAAAATTCAAGTTTACCAGGTCTTTATCTAAACCCCACTCTTCTGCATCCTGAGATTTGTAAATCCCAGCAGACCACATAAACAACCCAGCAGATCATTGCTGCATCACCCCAAAAATCAGCTTAACTGTCAGAGAGAAAGGCTGACACGCACACAACGTACTGCTTGTGCCTTGGCTCCTTCGAGCCAAGAGCATATCATGATGGCCAATTAAGCCTAGTCCAGAATTATCATCTCCAAACAGCCTCAAATCAGTTTATGTCTTGATTCAGTGATGTGTTAAGGGCATTAAGAATTAAGGACCAGTGAACTCCACCATGCAGCACTGCTTGCTCTGGGCCATCACAATGCTGGAAAAACACTTGAAATATGGTGGGTTTGGCGAAGATGACTCTTCACCTTGGGTACCAGGCTGCTGCTGTGAGCGAGGAGAGGGAGGTTTGCCAGCTTTGTGCAGACCTGGAGCTATGAAGGAGCAACCTGCTTCATCGAGGGCTGATGTCGGGCAGGCGTCGTACTTCTCAGCTGTGAGAAACAAAATGAGGGCACACACAGGAAATACTGCAGCCATTATCGCTCCATTTTTAAAACAGAAAGTGGATTTAAGTTGATTCAGACAAGTAGGGACACCTGCAAACCAGACTGATGAGACACATAGATGCTCAGCCGAGCTCTTCAGATTTAGAGCGTTATCAGAGATGCTGGGGCAGGGTTGGAGACATCACGTCACCCAGCAACTCACCAAGCCAAAGGGGACCTGAAAGCAGAGAAGGGTTTCTGCTTCTTCTGCAGCTTCTCACTGCCGGTCAGGTAACACGGGGACCAGCTTGACAGAAAGCTCTTTTTTTTTTATTGCCTACAGGAGAGCTGGGGAAGGACTTTTTACAAGGGCGTGTAGTGATAGGATGAGGGGGAATGGCCATAAACTGGAAGAGGGCAGGTTTAGATTAAACATTAGGAAGAAGTTTTTCACTTTAAGGGTGGTGAGGCAGTGGAACAGGTTGCCCAGAGAGGTTGTTGAGGCCCCATCCCTGGAGGTGTTCAAGGCCAGGCTGGACGGGGCTTGGGCAACCTGGGCTGGGGGGAGGTGTCCCTGCCCACCAGGATAGGGGAGTGGGACTGGATGATCTTCAAGGTCCTTTCCAACCTAAACAACTCTATGTTTCTATGATTCTATGATAAGTGAACATTCAGGGAACACGGGCAACATTCCCTCCCTGAGGGGAAACAGCAGCCGGCCTCGGGGCCAGGATCGCTGCCGCCCACCTTCAGGCACTCTTCAACTACTTGCATGCCAACATTACTCCATCAATAATGCAAAATTAACATATTTTTTTTGTGTGTTTTCCCGATTTTAAAAAGCCACTTATTGGGCACAAACCATCTCTAAAAGTCACCTTTATACAATTACCCCCCTACAGGTGATGTGCTGCCCGGTCACCCCTCATACCCTGAGGTGGGGCAAGCCAGCACTTCGAGGTGCCCAAACTGCCGGAGGCCGGGAGAGGAAAGGAGAGTACAGGAGAGGAAAGGAGAGGAGAGCCGCTGCCCTCAGACGCCCTGCAGCCCGGCCCCTCCACAGCTCCTCCTCTGCCGCCATCTTGGGAGTGGCGGGGAGGACGGCGCCATGTTGAGTGTGGCAGGACAGGAAGGCGCCATCTTGAGCGTGGCGCGGGGCCCATGGCGGCAGGCTCTGAGGCAGCCCAGAGACAGACCAGACACAGAGCTGACTGAAAACGTATTCATTGTTTAACTGAGAAAACCCTCTTCTTCAAGCCTCAGGGCATCTGTGGGGCCAGGATGGCATCGCCCAGTGATAGTGTGCCTCAAACCAGGTCGGCCGAGCGCAATGTGCCGCTGCAAGGTGAGGCACCGGCGCTCCGCGTGCTGCAGCCCGTGCTCGCTGCGTCTCCACACTGCAGCCACCACCACCTCACGGGCATCTCCCGCCTGAGGAAGCCGTCGCCTTGCGGTTCCCTTTGGCTCTCACCTGGGAGGACGAAGGAGAAAGAGGGGAGAAATCAAGGAAAGGGAAACCCAACACCAACAACACTCTGGCACGGCTTCTGCCGGCACCCGGTTTCCCACCACTCGGGGCAGACCAGGAGCACGGAGGCTGCCGTCCCCCACAAGAGACACCTCAGCATCCATCCCACCTGGCTCCTTCCAGCACAGCCTGCAGTGATTTCTTCAGAGCTGCGTTGCTCCTATCCAGAGCGGCAGCCAGACGGCTCCGGTGGGCTGGGGTGACCTGGGACGGAGAGGAGGAAGGTGCTGGGAGAGCTGCCCTGCCAGGAGCCCACCTGAGACCTCCAGGCCAGGTCCTGGGTCAGCTGCAGCCCTGGCTGCCAGCTCACCAGCTGATCTGCAGGACCCGAGCCTGGTCCTGCTCACCTGGCTTTGGTACATGGTGAGCAGGGCTGTCACCAGCTTGGCGTAATTCAGCGAGGTGGCGAAGGCTGGGGCCTGCCGGCACAGAGTCAGGACCAGGAGATCAAAGAGCTCGGGGGGGAGCACCTCCTGGAAGAGAGCCACAAGCAGAGAGGAGAGCTGGTCCTTGCTCTGGCGCTGCTGAAGCTGTCAAGAAAACCCAGGGGGGGACAAGGGGGCATCCACTCACCTGCCGCCCCAGCACAGCCTGCTCTGCCAGCAGGAGCTTCTCTGACAGCGGCAACTCCAGGACTTGGCTGCAAAGGATGGGGAAGAGGAGATGCGATGCTCACGCAGCCTCGCTGGTGCTCCTGAGTGGCCGGAGCCAGGCGGACCCACCGAGGCAGGGAGCAGGGCAGAAGCAGAGCTGTCACCCCTGTTCATCTCTTACCTGAGCACCAGTCTCACACAGTCTGGCTCCAGGCACTCCTCCACGAGCTCACACACCAGCTTGGTCTGCTCAGCGCCTGCAAGGGCAAAGCAGAAGGGGGAGAGCCTCTAAAGGTTGCCAAATCCACGGAGACGTGCCTGACCCTTCCTGGCACCCCTTCACGTAGGGGTACATCCCAGTCGGGACACCCAGAAACCACGTAGCACCCACTTCTACTGTTCAGGATAATCCAGCTTCCTTTGCCTATCTGCAGCAAGGGTTTAATTAGCACCGGTCCCTAGGAGAAGGGGATGCTGCTGTGGCAGGGACTCATGCAGGACCCTCTTCTCATGCCAGCACAGCCACCCTGGGGCAGCTTTGGCTTTTAGGAGCTCTCAGGAATCCCTAAGTTCATGGAGGGATGGCAACTGTCCCCAGCCTGGACTCCCCTCCATCCCAGGCATCTGTAAACCCATCTCCCATCCTAACCCAAGCGTTCACCTGCCCAGATAAAACCAGCACCATCCCTCCGTGGTTCCTAACACACGCTTTGGGTGACAAATGCCTCCCAGCAGACAGCCCTCTGCAACCGGGGCTTCCCTTCCCGCTGGATGCAGCCCACGGCCCCTCTCCAGCTCCCTCAGCTGCTCCCAGAAGAAGTTGTGCCTCCTGTGAGCTCATCGCACCTTCCCCCGGCTCCCGCAGGACCGCAGCCACCAGGACTTGACAGAAGGGCTGGGAATACTTGGAGCAAAATGAAGCGAGGGCAGCCATGAGGTGGCGGGAGGGCGGCTGGGTGAGGGACAGGACCTACGGACAGAAAAGGCAGGAGGATGGGGATGGCGGTGAGGGAAACGGGGTGCAGGAAACCCCTGCCCCAACACTTACTCGCCTGAGAAAAAGCTGCTCTGCCAGGATGGCTGCGCTGGTGTAGCTGAGGTCGGGGGTGAGAGCCAGCAGCCAGCCGCAGAAACGCATCAGGAGGTGCTCCGGGCATGTGGAGAGCTGGAGAAAGGAGCACAACCCCTCGAGCTGGGGACAGCAGAGGGGACAGGGACTTTAGGGACAGCAGCAGACCCTCCGTGGCACTGGCGGTTGCAGCAAGGATGCTGAGGCTCACCTGGCTGGGAGAGGAGTTGTTCAGGATGTGCAGCTCGGGTGGGATGCTCAGTTCCAAGTGCTGCAAATACACCAAATAAACCAACACAGAAAAAGAGAGCTCCAGGGCTTTTCCCTTCCCTACCACCCCCTGCTTCGGCCGGCACTGACCCCGCGGGCTGCCCACCATACAGCACATCCCCAGGAGGAGGCGGCAGGTATTACCGGAGCCCAGAGGAGGTGGCAGGGCTTTTTATCCCCCTCCAGTCGTCCCTGTGAAACCCACCTCCTCCCCCCGAGGGCCAGGCATGAGCCCGTTTAGACCATCAGCTCCAGGAGAGAGGCAGAAGCGACCACTTACGTCGGACTCCTTCTGTAGCAGCATTTTCAGCCTCTGTCCGTGCACCTGAGGAAAATGAGATGAAGGAGCAGAAATCAGACTGTAAAGGCTGCTCGCTGGCTGGAAGAGCAAAGCAAACCCTGGCCGGTACCTGGAGAAAGGACTGGACCTCTGCTGCCAGCTCTGCCTGGGACATCTTCCTGGGCTCCCCGGCCACATCCTGCTGGGAGTTTTCCAGAGCGGCTCCCACTGGGCTCTGAGCAGATCTGTCCCCCGACATCTCCCCAGGCATCTCCTCTTCCACCTCTGCCGCATTCCCACCCTCCTGGGTTCCCGGGGGGTCAAACACCGCCTCCTCCAGCAGCAACCTCTTTCTCTCTCCCTCCTCATCCAACTCCAGGCTCTCCTCTGACACTTTCTTGCGCTTTCCATCTTGAAGGACAGAGTCAGCCACGTCCCCAGCAGCACCGAGCTGCCTGCTGAAGCACCAGTTCAGTTTTCTTCGCCCCTCTGGTTTGTTCTGGGCAATTTTCTGGCACAGGCACCTAAGCTGCTGCCGGCATGCGGAAGACAAGGGAGCGGGAGGTGGGAAGCGCTCCTCTCCCCTCGGTCCCTGCCGGAGCAGATCCCCCAGTGCCCGCACCCAGGGATCCACGTGGGAATCCTGCTCCACGGCCCGGAGCAGCCGGCCGAGGCAGCCCCCCGGCACCACGGCTTGCACCAGGAGGAGGAGGGAGAAGAGGTTTCTCTGGCACACGACGGGGAGCAGCAGCAGCCGCGGCTTGCTGGATAAAGGGAGAAAAGGGAGAGGTGATGCGTCAGAGCAAAGCCCGGAGGACTTTTTGCCAACCTGCCCCGTGGGGCAGGGTCTAACGGGACTAGGAAGCGAGAGAAGGAAGCAAACACCTTCGCCAGCTTTTGCAGGCACAAGCTGGAAGACCAGAGGGTCCCTGCTATGATCCTGTAATGAGTAATTTAGCAAAAGAATTTTGCTTCAGCTAAAATGGACGTGTGCTTGCTATGGCTTCAGCTAAGACGGGTGCGTGCTGGCGATGCCTTTGGAAAAGGGATAGTGTTAGACAGGATATCAGACGAAAGCAACAGTTGGAAGTACCGAACCACTGCAAAACAAAAGGTGGTGTAGTTAGCTAAGATAACCACAGAAGCGTAAAGAATAAAGAAGCCACAAGAAGGACACGGCGATAAAGACTTGGAGCCTCCCTCCGATGCCCACCAGGAAGACCCCTGAGGAAGCGTATCGCCTGCCCCGCTAGAAAGGAGGGGGCATGTTCGGGGGTGGGTTGCATTCCAAGAACTCATTGACTACGTAATTGGGGGTGGGTTGCATTCTGAGAACTCATTGATTATGCAAATTATTTTCGAAGAAAAAACATGAATAAGTACAAGGAATACGAAATAAAACCAAGCATTTGTAAAGGGAAAATGATCAACAAGGGGAGAAATCCCCTGTGTAACTCCCAGTGCTGTAATAAATATTCTTTGCGCCACCGAATTTGCCCCGACTGAAATTCAGTATAGTGAGCGCGTTTCTCACAATCCTGACTTCATGTACTGACCGCTGCACCAGGGGGGGAAGAGGATGCACGGTGCCGAATTGGGCACCCGACGTACCAAACCACCCACAAAATATCGACTTTGGGAAAAGCGGCCAACTCACACAGCCAGGGCCCCCTCCGGCCCCTCCAGCGTGGGCTCCTCGGCGCACAGGGCTGCGGTGAAGGCCTGCCAGGGAAATGCTTGCCCGGGTCCCTCGTGGACCCGCACCCGCTGCAGCATTCGGAGGGCGGCCAGTGTCCCCGAGGAGCCGGAGGCGAGCACGTGGAGCAGGAGGCGGCACGGCTTGTCGAAGCTTTGCAGCCATGGCAGGGAGGGGGGCTCCATCGCTGCTCGGGG